GCAGCCAATCACAGAGTAATCAGCCGATAAAAATAACTAAAGCTGTTTGAATAGTGGGATCATCGCTCCTGCATGGGCGAAAAGCAGTCTTAAAATATAATGCCTACAACGCCTGTCTCCACCCCACTGGCGATGTCGGTGGCAAAGAGTCGGCGAAAAGGAAAAATAACATCGTCGTTCACACCAAATTTTTCAGAGAATACCTTACAGGTTTCTTTTCGATACAGCCCTGAGAACTAATTGTGTCATTCAAAAAAAAAAATATATATATATATATATATATATATATATGCATGTATGCATATATATGAATATGCATATACTTGGGAAGCTGGTTCTCTTCTGCGCAATAGTTGATGTAAATGATAGCATACGTGTTGTGCAGTATTTTCTTCAAATTTTCGATCATACGAACACACTTTCTGCTATGTGAGTCAGTGATATGTATTAAATATCCGATGCTCGCAACGTTTCGTCCGACACATTACATCATCGGCAATTACAGGAAAGCACAATATGCGAATGACACTTTACAATGGTGTAATCTATACAACGCTCATCAGATCAGTTAGATCAAACCCTTGTAAACCATTATGAACCAAACCATTACCGAACCATCATAAGTGTTATTTTTATCATTATGATCACTTTTCCTTGTCTAATGATGTCCTATGTCGGGCGAAACATTGCAAACATCTGGAGATCTTATGCATCTCATCGAGCCACAGCAAAGAAAGTGTGGTCGTAAAATAATGAATTTAAAAGAAGATATTGCACTGTGTGCTTCAATGTCAATGTGCTGTAATTTGCAATAACTTTGGGTATACCTAATTTTGTAAATATGTATACGCATATATATATATATATATATATATATATATATATATATGGGGTTGAGTGTGGGTTATGGGTATAGGTGTGGGTGGATGTCGCCATCTCAGTATTGGTAGGTAAATGTAGAATTGTATTGCAAGGGAATAACATTGTTAGTTGATGTGTAGAACTACAGTTAGACAACCAAGCAACCGCAATGTTGTGCCATGGTCAATCAATTTTATCCCAAGTCTTAGCAATTTCTTGTGTTCCAAATGCCTGTGAGAGATGCACTACGCATCTTTCGATCCATTTCCGAGCACAACCTTCAGTTTTACTTAAGGTGTTTCGGAGGACGTATGTGAAAGAGGCTCTGGTCCTAATGTACAAACCACGATTGGCCAAACAGGAAACAGTTCTACCGTTTTACAGCCAGGCACACATTCCACTGCCGGTATGTATTTGTTTATTTTGCTCCAGATTCAGACATAACCAGCTTCACAACTCAATTCAGTTCAATGGATTATTTGGCGCTGGCTTCTCATAAAAGCATACTCAGCAATGATGAAAGCCTGACAAAAAGCCTTCCAAACCCTGGAACTAGGTGACAATTGGCCCTCATCTGGTGGTCTGCCTTCAGACTGACGGCTGCCAAGGCTCGTTTCAAGCTTGGAAACGATCAGCATGCGTGCACATCATTTATCGATGATGTTTCTCCCACCACAATGGGTGCTCCCGACCGCACTGCTCGCTGGCCACCCTGAGAGAGCTGGAGCCGCCCCTGTCCGCCCACCTCCCCCCTGAGGTCCGCTGACAACGCCTCTGGCCGTGTATGTGCCGTCCACCCCACCGGGCCATAAACAGAGCGGCGGCGGCGCCGGGCCGCCGGTGCAGGCGGCCAGAGGCGGGACGACGCTCCTGCAAGGCCTCCTCGGCGCCCGGCGGGTCGCGACCGGCAGCGCGGCGACACGCCCGCACCAGCCACACGCGTCAGCTGATCCGCGGCAGGGGTGACTCGTGGGAATGTCAGGGCCGGGGCACGGGTGGTGCGGGAGCTTGCGAACTGGCGGCTGCTCGAGGGTGTTCTTACTCAGTGGATGCCCTCCTGTGGTTATCTTTGCAGTTGTGCGGTATTTTGTGGAACTTGTCTATTCCCGTTTGATCTGCTAAAATCTCATTCTGCTGCCACGTCTGGTCAGGCTGGTCGGACCGGGTTGCATGCTGCTTCATTCGTGACACATGCAGGGCGCATGCAGAAGGAAAACCAAGATGACGAAAGTGGTCTTCTCTCACTGGGTGAAGGGGTTATATAATCAGCTACGACACCTCAAACTGCAGACTCCTGGGACTACACACGATGGGACCATATGCTCTCGGATAGAACAGGATTCTGTTATGACCAGGGAAAACATTAACATTGTGCGTCATGTTGTGCTTGGCGGCCCATGTTTCATTCGCAACTTACCGCCTTCACTTTATTTACACTATAAGTGCACGTAGTAGTAATACGAAACATGCAGTAAGAATGTTTCGTTGTTTCATTTTCCAACCTCGAGGGCTTCTGGTAAGAAGATAATTGTTAATGGATCCCCGGGCAAGCTGAACTTAGTGCATGACCCGTACATGTCTTGCATCAGTTTGATACTGTCAGCCTCATTGTGGCTGCAAGGCAGCATGCTTTCGCTGTGAAGTGAGAGGCTTCACAACTTATCAATTCATCTAAAGCAGATTTGCCTTATCTGAAATATAGATGATTATTCTCGAAGGTTTTCTTTGAAGTCCGCAAAGCAGCTAAACATGTTTTTCTTGGCTTGAACATATTTTCAATTTAAATGGGGATTTTGGTATAGCTGCAATCAGCGCTTGGTGCGCCCGTAAAGAAATTCTCGCCCACAGTGAATCACACTGTCGTTTTACTCTGGGAGTTGAAAATGATCTCAGGAGAAGGCGATGCGCTGAAGACATCTCTATTTTGTGGGACCGTGGATTCCATTTAGATGTACGCCTCCGTTTCCTCGAGACAAGCTCCGCGTTAAATGCAAGAGCACTAACAGATAGCGAACATATGAGAGATAATTTCATTTCAGCTCGTGCACTTTCCTTTCACGTCTTCGGTGCGATGTTAATGGAGCCTGACACATATATGTCCCATTTTGCTATAGGCGGGAATGAAATTTAACGGACGATAGCCACACTGTATTTTCTCAACACCTTAATCAATACTGAACGCAGCAAGACTCGCACATGTTACGTACGAGATATGCAGTGTGAGGTAAATTGAAACGTTCCCGCCATCCGCAGATCACAGTACGCACTGCGTTACCCCGCCTCTGAAAGCTGTAGCTAATAGCAGGTGCTAAATCGGGAGAGGTCGGGAGAGATCGGGAGCTAAATCGGGAAAAATCCGCATAGCTGTCGCTCTTAAGCGAGCCGCCGATGCCTCAGCCATGATCGAGTTATTTGTGAGATTTCGCGACTCGCGTCGTCCTGTTACGGATCCGTGCCTGGTGAGTTGTACTGAGTGTTCCATCCCGGCCTCTTTGTAATTATTTTACATCATGAGAAGGAATGGGAGTTGTTTCTCACGTTGTGGTCAGGCGGATCTAGACGATTTTTTATTACATCTAAAATTGAAAATAGAGCCCGTCGTCCGATTAGTTTTTGCACGCGTTTTTTTGACAAAGTTATGTCTGCTGCACTTCTCTACCCTTGCAAGTGTTTGTTGCGGCACTCTGAACAGGTTCAGCGATCAATGTCACTGCGCAATATTGAAACCTGCTTCACGAATGCGTGTGCATTAACTGTGGCTTCCCGTTACATGCTTAGTAGTGAACGATACAGGTTTCTCAACATCATCTTGATTTATGTCTATTTGCTATTGAATTGCTGCTTTGTTCTTTGCGCATACACAATGCGCGAAATACACTCCGTGCGCCTTTCTTGTTTACATGTGTACACACATGCATACATTGGCCTATGTACTCGTGTGTGCGTGCTTGGGCCCGGGAGAATGCACACGGATGCATGCGTGCTGTTGTGGTGTTCATTGCTAGGTACGGAGTGCAGCGCTTGAAACTGGAAACTGAACTCGAAATATCCCTACTAGAAACAGGTGATTAGGTGGAGGGTCCTTTTACACGAAGGGTGTCGCGCATATGTTATATTCCTGCGTAATTTGTTTCGATGACATTGCCAGGGCTCCTGACCATCACCCGTCAACACACCCAATCCTGGCCGCGCATGAGCCTCCGCCTCGTCGTCTCGGCCCCCACCGTGCGCCGCTGCGGCCTGCGCGATCCATTTCGCCACGCGGCCCGGATGAATGACCAGGGCCCTGTGACCGTCGCCTGTGAGCTCGTTCGGCGATGCGTCGTGCCGGCGACACTGCAGGAGCGGAGACGAACGGGCACGCGTCGCCCAACGTGTACAGTATAAACAAACACTGGAGCTGGCGTTTTCGTCGGGTCCGGGTCTTGCTGACCTACATGTCTGCTCGACTCGCTTTCGATCGGCTTCCGCAGCGATCGCCGGCGGTGATCACGCGAGGTCCCGACAACAAAGTGTATAAGGGACAGCGGACTGAAAGACTAGTACCAGCTGTCTTTTCGTGCATTAGTATTGGTAGTACACAGAGCTATACATGGAATGCAATGGGCAAATAAGATAATGAATTATTAAATTACCGATAGACGATAATGTTTGTCCTAAATATTTCACATCATGCTCTGAAGTCATTCATCAAGAGCCACCGAATCATTCTATCGAGCCACGGTACATTTTTACAGGTGTTTGTGGTGCAGGCCGGGTTCAGCCTTACCACAAAAGTAGTTTGCAGTCCTGGGACCCTGCAATTAGTTCCAATTGTATGAGTTCCCACACTACAAAACTGCATAGGGGAGCACCTGGTGCGCGGGATAAGCAGTGTATACTGTTACACGCTGGCGAGCTTTTCAAACCGTCAACTGCATGATCGACGTACGAATCAATCAAACCATTCTACAAAGTCATGTCGCATAGTTTCGCAGCCCCGCACAGCGCAGGCCGGGCCCAGTTCATCACAAAAGGAAGCCACCTGCAGGCCTGGGCTTCCACATTGCTTGTCTACGTTGCACGTCCCTGTACATATGTCCTGCAGCCCTGCACTGTCATCGTGGGAGGCCACTCACAACGTCTCCTTGGTGTTCCAGATGGTCTGCACCCGTGTCTCTGGTGTGCTGTCTGCTTTTGGCCAGCTTGCAGATAGCTTCAGCACGTGAGTACTCACCAGAGGCGCCTATTTGTGTGGATTATTGTGGGGCAGGAGCCAAAGTCCCGACAGCCTAACCTCCCCCATTTGTGGGCTCGACCAACTAAGCTCAGTTTTTTCGGCGAGTGACTATTGTCTTTGTTTTTCATCGCTTGTCAAATGATACTTTATTTCAGTAGCACAGAAGCTATGGTCGTAAAAAGTGTAAAAATAGTTAAACCTTTTGGATATTTTACTTTGTCCTCATATCTTCTCAACATTGCAGCGACAATAATAGGCTGCATCACAGTCATTGCCCAAATCAGGCAAAGGGAGCAAGCTAACATTGGGCGAATGGACGGGACCCTTTAAATGGAAATAGACGGCCTTAGCAGCCACCTAAATCGCTCGTGGCTAGATTAGCCCGCTTCTCATTTAATACCGCTCGGTGGCTAGATATGGACAGAAAAGTGCAGCTGTGCCCCATTCACAGAATTGTGTTCGCCAGTTGGCTCACCCTTCACCACCTACTCAAACGGCTTAATCCCAGTACATTTTCCACCACTGAGGCGTTGTTTTTATTTCAGAAAACGAGCAGCCCCCGGATGAGAGGGTGGACTACGCCTACTACTACTACGACTATGACGAGGAGGGCGATACAGATGGCAAGTACTACCGTCGCTAACGGATGGTGGTCAGCAATAGCGACGCAACCAGTCGGCTTGAAACGCTAACAACGTTTGTCTAATCGTGTCCCATGAGGATCTTCCCGTGTGGATTTGCGCCGGAGAGTTCCGTTTCCCTCTCACCTCGGTATTCGAGAAGGCGTTGACTACATGATAAACATGCAGGTATATGCATGTATACGCATGTATCGTGCACGTTAGAATGACTCCTAGCTATGTATCCACAGTTCTGCCGATGTCACGCGAAGAATCTTTAGAACGAAATAATTGATTTACATTTAAACAAAAATGTTTAGAAATTATTACCGTCTCCGCCTGGTCTCTCAGGCTGGCAAAATTACCAGGCACCAGGGAACATTGCCCCGATCAAATCGTCAACTGAGACGTATTTTGTGATTTGATCACTACCAAAACGTCGTCTCCGTGTGAACGCTCTGTTACCTTTCGGCCGACAGTGTGTGAGTATGCCATTGCGGCGCAGTATGTCACCTGGTACATGACGATGCAGCGCGCCCCGCACTGTGCGGCGGCGCAGCATTCGTCAGTCAGCAGGCGGCCGCCACCGCAGCAAAATAAATGGACCACGCGTTTTCGAGATCCATCACGAAGGAATCTCATTCTAAACTGACCTTTGAGCAGGGTGTATGTCAGTAAGGATTTTGTCATGCAGCGCGACAGAAAGCAAGCTTACAACGCATGACGCGTGGGTATTGATTTTGACGGATAGTTCGTCACCAGCGAAAGACAGCAGAGAGTCTCTAAAATCCCCAGATATATCACAAATCTGGCCTTCAACTCTTTCAATTTTTGAATAATAACTAGAACACTGTACGCTAAATATCACCTTTGTGTGTCATCGAAGCGGAGCGTCATCTTTATCTGTCTAGCACTTATTCGGTATCTGATCATTTATCCCGCTTGTTTTTTCGTCGCAGTGTCTCCCGTGGGGGTCAGCGCCGTACGCCTCTGATCCAGGTTTCTCTCCCTCCAGGCCAAGCCGCGGGCAGAGGGCCAGAGCCAGGAGTGGCGCCGGGTGGCGGCGCAGGGCCCGGACTTGGCTCTCCCGATTACGGTGCAGGTGGGGATGCTGTTCCCAGTGACGTCATGGGGGCCTGCTTCATCAACTCTCTCTCCCCTACTAATGCCCGGGACAACAGCTGTGCACTGAGACGAACGGATTCTTGTATTTCTTTACCGGTAAATATATTGCGCGGTGCAAGGGCAAGAAGACAAGTCACAATGTCAATGCACCCGTCATTTGTCCATGGCTACATGACTGTCTACATGGCTACATGAGCTACACATTTACGACTATGATCATTTAATGGGCTGCATGCAAAACATACGCTGCACTGAGCGCTTGTCACGGCTGAGTCCGCACCACTGCTGTGTGTCCTACGCGGGCCTTCCTCGTTTTCTTGCACAAACACTCACGGACTACACAGTCATTCTATCTCATGCACAGGCACTTCCACCTCACAGATTTTCCCGATGTATCCGTACATAGAATCATTCCACTTCACAGGTTTGCCCGATGTATCGGTCTCGCTGCCCTGCTCCGACTATCGTCCGGGTGAGGACGACCTCCAGGCCTTCGACTTTATCCGCCGCTTCAAGCTGGACGTGCTGGAGAAGAGGTTTCCGGGCGTCAGCAAAGTGCGCGGCTCGAACCGGGTGCAGGTGGCCTACCGTCTGGATGCCTCCGCCGACCTCAGCATGGCCACCAGGTGAGGCCTTCTGGGCTCCTGATCGGCCTCAGTGGCGTCACCGGGCAAGTCCTACGATGCCTCCAACAGGCACCAATGCTGCAGCTGCCGCTCCTTGCTATATGGCCCCTGGTGACAGGGATCAGACAGGAAGACACCGATTGAGTTGCATTGAGCACGGTCAAGTTCTGTCTTGGGCGCTAATGGGAATGCTCCACATCTTTGTGGGGCCTTTGAATGAAATAGCCATCTTGGTGATCATTTGGTACGGTTCACTGTCCTGCTCTTCGTAAGACCTAAAACCCTCCAGTTTCTGAGCTACACGTCCGCAAAGATATGCAGACTATTTCTTGCAGACTTTTCACCCGTGCATGGCGCCATAGAAACGTCATTCAGAACCTGCCATCCCATTGGCCATGTGCCGTTTAAGTTCAAGAAGAATAAAATCGTCGAGTCGTTCATATCTGGCGTTCGTGAGCACATTTTCCGGTTATAGCGAATGCCAATTGGCTCGCAGTCAATGTTGCGCAGGCTGTGCAAGTTTCAATCACGAGTCACGTTTTGTTTTACCTAATACAAGAAGTTGGGCATGGACATTAGTCATTACAGAAATAAGACTTGTAATCGAATAAATTCAAAATGGCGCCATAACACAACTTAACACTATAAATCACAAATGAATATTCAATGACACCGTGAAAAGGGCCAGCACACAAGCATATGCAAATTATCCTGTTCGGCAAACACTTCCAGCACCGCCACGGCCACTTCACGGGCTTTCGGAAGTACTACAGGCGAGTGCTAGGGTGGCGATTCCGCGCGGCCAGTTTAGCGGCACCCTTGGTGTCATACAGACGTTTCATGACCTGTAGCCATACAATAACGTATTGAGGAGCATATCTACTAAATTTGAAATTGTGTTTTGTAGAGCATTCTTTTGGACTTAGAAGTATAACAATACTTCTAAGATAGCTTACTTCATCATATCTGACGCTTGGCTCAATACCTTCACATGTGAGCCATTCTAATGGTTGTTCCACCACTATTCGGTGATCTGACTTCCCCACAGACGAACAGAAATGCTGAGCTTGTCAAGCCAAATCCATTCTCATCCGATGCGTCAACAATACCACGGGCTCTGGCCTCCACCGCTCCCCATGCAGGCGCTGACTTCCACCGGCTCCCAAATCGGCACTCACCAACCACCGCTCCCCGGGTCGACGCTGACGTCCACCGCTCCCCGGGTCGGTACTGACGTCTACCGCTCCCCGGGTCAGAGCTGACATCCACCGCTCCCCGGATCGGTGCTGACTTCCACCGCTCCCCGGGTCGGTGCTGACGTCCGCCACTCCCCAGGACGGTGTTCCCGCTGGGCCTGCCGGCCGAGTTCAGCTTCATCTCCACCTTCCGCGCACGCAAGCTGTTCCAACGGCCGTGGGACGTGCTGCGCATCAGCGACCTGCGCGGCCGGCCTCAGTTTGCCGTCACGCTGAACCCGCAGGAGCAGCTGGTGCAGTTCATGCTGCCCGACCTCAGCGGAGGAACGCAGCAGATCGACTTCGCCGGGCTCAATGTGAGGCGCTGTGCAGTCTGCTGATGGCGCTGGCGGCAGCGGCGGCCGGTCCATAGCTTGCGTTGACAGTGCGACGCTGGTGGGATGCCGGGTTGACCGAAGCACCCAAGCTGAGCTAGAAAATATTTGAGTTGTGATAACAAATTTTAGATGAGGTGGATGCAATTTTCGTGTGTGCGCTTAACTGTTTTAGTCTAATACACACTCCAGCAATGCAACTAGTATACGCTAGCATGTCAGCCCGATGCCGACAACATCGTGGTTTTTTGGTGTTATATAACGCTACTTATTCATATCTCCCCAGCCCACTGACATTTTGAGTAACGCTCGATGAGACCCGCAAACACGGCGCGGGCTCACGACGGTCCAAACCAAGCTTCCTCCTTCGCTGCAGATATTCGACCGTAACTGGCACTAAGCTGCACTTCGGCGTGTCGCGGACGGAGGTCATGCTGTACGTGGACTGCCAGCTGGTCAGCTCGTTCCCGCTGTCGCCGGTCGGGCCCATCGACGTCAATGGCGACATCGTCATCGGCAAGTCCACCAACTCGGCGAAGACGGTGCCGGTGGGTGAAGCGGACGCGGCAGGGGATGTGGGAGTCGTCGGCACGCTTGCTGCCGTCTTCGTTGGTTACCAGAGAAGGTGCCGTTTACCTATCGTGTCATTCTGGTGTGATACCGAAGTGCGAGACTGTAGGTGAAGACCACTTTTTGCCCGGTTGGTTACATTAGGCCCTTCATGTTAGCGATCCGTCAAACAAAACAAATTTCTAAGCTATGGCAGCCAGGGCAACACCACCATATACCAACATTCTTCAAAATCAAGACATCCTCAGTATTTAAAATTGAATGACGCTCGGCCAGACCTCTTTGCGCCGCCAAAGTCTCTCAGCATTATCCGCGGCCATTTTCATAGGTCCGTGGAAGCAACCGCAATGAAATGTACAAAGCTATGGTAAATCGTCTTTAAGAAGAATGTGTTCGATGGCTACATTCAATCGTTATTGGCAACAATTCACCTATTATGCAAATCGGGAGTTCTCAGCGGACGCACTGACCTGTCGTTGACTTTCCAGATTGACCTGCAGTGGATGGTGATGAACTGTGACCCGACCCGGCCAGAGAGGGAAGAGTGCAGCGAGCTTCCGGTCTGTATCATACTCATCACCATTCGTGCATACGCGACGTCATCGCTGTAGCAACGGTAGCGCTTGTGTAGGTGCCCACACCTCAGGCAGCAACTGTCCATCTTCATGTATATATATATATATATATATATATATATATATATACATATATATAGTTTATATATATTATATGTCCGGGTAGCTGACCCGCCCATGAATAACTGCTTACTTGGTGTATTCATCAGGACATCAGTTTATGTTAATTTCTCAGCTATTCATCGCACCTGCTCACCGAACATGCTAACGCGGTTACATATTTCAGAGTCCTGCGGAGCCCCAGATTGGGCCGACCCCCTGCGAGACCGTGTGCCCTCAGGGCCCACCCGGCTTTAACGGCACCAAGGTTAGGAGTCAGCATGGGGTGACATCACCTAGGGAGCAGACACTGTTGATCGTTTCCTTTTGCGATAGGCGTGTGTTGTGCGCCTTAGACCCTGCTGAAGTGGCCTCAGGGTAAGCCTGGCCTCAGAGTCTAGTGTAACGAGCCATCCAGGTCTACGGAATTGCTCGGTATGCAGGAAAACCAACGACTGTATTATTTACAGTTGCATTGCAATGACAGCTTGTGCATTCCAGTATCGGTCCGATATTTTATATCAATGAGCTAACCTACATGAACTCGATATTGATTGTCGATTCTCCTTTTGGTGCTGTAAGTCGTACCACAAATTCGAATTCTGTGAGTGGTGAACACACAACGCTCGCCCCACAACCACCGATCCCGCAGCGTCGTGACTGTCCCCGCAAGCTGAGAGCCAGGGGGAATACTGACGTTACATCCGTCGCTCTGCCGGCAGGGCGAACCTGGGCCGCCCGGGCCCCGCGGCGCCATCGGCTCGATCGGCGAGCCCGGCGTGCCCGGCTTCCCCGGCTCCCCGGGCCCACCGGGCCTGACTGGACAAGCCGTGAGTGTGTCCGGCCGTGTCCATGGTCGGGTCTGGTCCGGTCGACAGCCACGGACCTGGTCCAGTCAGCGGTCACGGGTCTGGTCCGGCCGACGATCACAGACCTGGTCCGACCGACGGTCACGGGTCCGCTCCGGACGGCGATCAGGCCTGGTCCGGCCGACGGTCAAGGGTCTGGTTCCGTCGGCGGTCAGGCCTGGTCCGGCCGACGGTCAAGGGTCTGGTTCCGTCGGCGGTCAGGCCTGGTCCGGCCGACGGCCAAGGGTCTGGTTCCGTCGGCGGTCAGGTCTAGTCGGGTCGACAGTCGCGGGTCTGGTGCGCACGGTGGCGAGGCAGTCGTAGGGGGTCTCTTTATGCGTCTTTAACACCAGACAATGTATATCTATGATGTGCACTTGTTTCCCAACCATTGCACAACGTTGAATGCTCTCAAAGCCTGCTCTCCCGTTCTCGCAAGCATAAATCATTTTTGTGATCTACCAGGCTTTCGTGATCTACCAGGAGTGCCAGGAGTTTTCCAATGAACTAACGAAATTAGCCCCGTGATCAACTAACCCAGCGAACTATGCCTGCCTCTCCGATCAATCGCCGAAGTTTGTTAGTTGCTAAGCTGACCCCTGTTCTATGCCGCCGGTGATTTCAGGGTCTGCAGGGGCCGCCAGGACTGACCGGGCAGTCTGGACGCTCAGGTCCCAAGGGGGACAGGGGCGACCAGGGGCCGCCGGGACCGAGGGGAGAACGGGGCCTCCAGGTATCACTCAGTTACGCTCGCCGTCGGAGAACGGCAGAGAGTCTTTCTCGAGCAGCCGTTGACCTTGTTCTGCGGCCATAGTTGCTTGTGCGATTCATCAGCTGATGATATTCGCACTTGGTGATGCGTACGCCTATGTGTTGACACACCTGCACATGCTTAATGGAATCAGGAGCAAGCGGCACCGAGCCCTATGTGGCGTACTGTCCAGCATTAAGTGCGGCGCTATGCCCTATGCATAGCTTAATGTGTACTTATTGCGTTAGACGCATGCCCTGACACAACGTAGTCAAATGTGTGCCCATTTCACGTAGCGCTCACAGCGTAAGACCTGTCACCGCCCTTCATCGCTCTCGTCCGTGATGTGACCTCGCTCTCACCCGCGACATGCCCCCGCTCTCACCCGCGATATAACCTCGTCCTCACCCGCGACATGACCTTGCCCTCACCCACGGCATCACCTCGCCCTCACCGGCGTATAACCCATCGCCCCGCCGCCAGGGCGTGTCCGGCCAGCGGGGCCTCAAGGGCGAGGAGGGCCTGCGCGGCACGGACGGCCGGCCGGGCGTGGACGGCCTGCCGGGCGCGCAGGGCCCGCCCGGCGACATCACCCGCGTGGTGGGCCCTATCGGCCCGCCGGGGCCGCCCGGCGTCGGCGGCACACCGGTGCGTGCGACGCGCCGGCAGGAGCGGTGCTGCCCGAGGCGTGGGGAGGGGAGCGCGGGGGCGATTATGTTAGCGCCGGCTTAGAATGGAAAGACGCTTCCAATAACGTCAGCGTGATTATGTGGAAATGATCAGAATGATGGCGCGTTAGTGCTGCACTGATGCAGTGCTGGTAACGTTGTGGTATTTGTAGTAGTGGCATTGCGTAACAAGCGCATGCTTTCAAATAAGGGGGCAAGTTCATGGTTGAATTAACGAGTAGGGCTGTAGCACTGTACCCTTTACGACCATACGAACGGTTGACAATGAGTCCCTGTCACACCCGGCGTCCGCCCCGCTGATTGGTTGTGTCGGCTCCGCCGCTGACCGGTGATTGGTGCTCAGGGCGTGTCTGGGCAGGACGGTGTGCCCGGCCGTCCGGGGCCGCCCGGCGAGCCCGGGACGAGAGGCTCACCCGGCGTGGACGGCAGGCCCGGCACCACGGGTGCGATAGGCTCCAAGGGCCAGCCCGGTCAGCCGGGCCCTGTCGGCCAGCAGGGACTACCCGTGAGTGACCACCCGCGTTGAGACGGCGGTGACGCCGTGTTTTGTGGTGACGCAGGTATGGCGTGGTGACATTGCTTAGTCAGCTCGTGTTGCGGCTGGGAAATGTTGAACTGCTCACCATGCGCGCCGACGCACCCACCCGAGTTCCACTTTTAGCGATAGGTTCTTCCTTTCGATGGCATTCTTGCTCGCGCCTGATGTGAACACACGAAAACAAAATCTAGCATGCCGGGCGTGAACCACATAGATGTCATAATGACTGTCGCTGCTAAACAACACAGCCTGTGTCCCAGCATGTGGTCGTGGCACAATGGGCAGAGATCAGACCCAAGCCATACCACGTCACTTTTGAGATGCACGAACTGGGAGCGAGCCGCCCCCTGACTGTCTGCTATGCGCAGGGGCCGCCGGGGCCGTACGGTCCGCCCGGTAGCCAGGTGGCGGGCGAGACGGTACCGGGACCGGCCGGGGTACCGGGCCAGCCCGGCTCGCCAGGCCTGACGGGCCCCGAGGGACCCGCCGGACCGCCGGGCCCGCCCGGAGAGGTCGGCCGGCAGGGACCCAGAGGAGACAAGGGTGAGTCGTGGTAGGGATCTGTGGAGGACTCGGCTGGGTGTGACGGCGATTGAGGAGAGGGGGAGAAGGTCTGTGTGATGTGGCAGGGAGAGAAACGACCTAGGCGACGCAGTGGTAAGATGCGGCTGTAAAGCTGTCGCCACCCAGCAAACATGACGGAGCTTGTACTTGACTGTGATGCAATGACGTTTTCAGTCGTTTTAGACTGCATCCGACACTGGCGGCGCTTTTCAAGAACCAGCTTCACCGATCAAAGGTCTCGATCTTGGGGATTTCCAACCCGGCTGGCTCGTACGAAATCAAATTTTTAAAAGAATGTCGTAACTTCGCCCGCAAACGTGAAAATCTTCGGTAGCACGCGATCGGCGTCCCAGTGACGCGCCCGTACGCCGGTCCGGTACCCCAGTGGCGCGCTCGTACGCTGGTCCGGTACCCCAGTGGCGCGCTCGTACGCTGGTCTGGTACCCCAGTGACGCGCTCGTACGCCGGTCCGGTAGGTGAGCGAGGGCCGTCCGGGGTGCCTGGCCAGGACGGTCTGCGCGGTTTCGCCGGCTCGCCCGGTCTGGACGGTGGACCGGGCGCGAAGGGCGAGCCGGGTCTGTCCGGTCTGCTCGGACCACAGGGGCCGCCCGGCGCGCCCGGACTGTCGGTGGGTGCACCGCTGCCCTCCCCTCCTGGCGCGAATGACACTGCCAACTTGCTGTGTGTCTGGGACGAGATGTCCCGTGCCAACGTTCGTGTTATTATGTGAGCCTTTTGCTATACTTTCTTAATCTTAAACCGCCCTCTGATCTACTGCTGACGTACCCTGTGCGTCTTTTGCCATGTTTGATGTCCTTGGCGTTACGCTCGATGTCCGCATCGCTTTTCCTCATGTCCTCATCGCAAAGCTCCAGAACTGCATGGCTTGGTCTGTGACGAGCAAGAGTGTCGTAATCACGCTCCGTCCTGGGTTTAGTGCTGGTGGCCTTGGTCGGTTTGCTGAATGATTTGGAATCTATGCACACGCATAAGGCGAGGCAAACTACTTGCCTTGTGCACGCTGACTTGATCGTGACCCAGCTGTCTGCACGACAATACCGCGTCGTTTTACATCCGTCTGGAGCAGCGGCAGCCCGCACTAACCGGCCTCCGCCGCAGGGACCGTCGGGCCCAGCCGGCGGCGTGGGCCTGCCCGGCCAGAAGGGCGACAGAGGCGAGGCAGGCCGAGACGGCGCCGTTGGGCCGCAGGGGCCCCCCGGACCGTCCGGTCTGCCCGGCGAGCGAGGCGAGACGGGCCAGGCAGGCCTCGACGGTCAGCCGGGACCTCGTGGCGAGGCCGGCCTCCAAGGCCCGCCGGGCCCGCTAGGGCTGCAGGGTCTCAAGGGCCACCCGGGCCGCCAGGGCGCCGAGGGCGAGCCGGGGCCGAAGGGCCAGCGTGGTGAGCCTGGCCTCACCGGCAAGGACGGAACTCCGGTGAGAAGGATCAGCACGCGCTGAAGCTCGTCTTCTGACGGCTCGCCAGAAATACACTCTATTTAAAGCAAATTTTCGCGCAGAAATTCTTTCATTTTTTGCAGATGCTCGCCCAGAAATTCGTTTGATTTTGTACACACGCTCGTCTAGAAATGCGCTCTGTTATGTGCAACAGATTATCCTGAGATCGCGCTTTCATATTTGTTTGCCTCAGGTAAGCAGCTCGATCGACCAGTACCAGCGAAACTGACCACAGATTTGGCGTGTACCTGTTCCAACATTTTAACGTCACGCTTCCCTAACTTGCTTTGCCGTTTCTGCTTAAAGCTCAAAAGTGATAGCACACTGTTGTGAAACTGTGATACGTATCATGAACAGTTGTGACCCCACTTGCGTGTAATATATTGTAAAGCTGTCACTTTCAAGCAGTGTGTTTGAAAGTGAAAAAACCTAAAAAATTATGTTTCACTTTGGCGTGCTGGGCAATGCGTCTGTACCGCATGTTAACGGACTATTAGTCAGATCTATACTATAATAAAACGTCTCCTTTGTATGGCAAAATAGTTTATTGTCTAGCTCCTTCGCCTTTTAGTTCAAACGATTTTTTTCCTCTCACTTGAGGGTTTTGTTTGCAAGTCAAAAGAGATAGGTTTTTGTCATGGACAAAAACGCCTGGGAAACCCTCACCCGGCCTTCTTGTGTGTGCTCGACAAGGTGGCGAAGATCGACAAACATATGCATTTGTTCCAAAGCATACTCAAGTCCTAGAGTTCGGTAGCTGCCGCTCTCTTGTGAGGCTTCTGCCATATCTACGTGTGCAATTTTCCAATACCAATTATGTATTGCATTACGTTTCAAGCACTCAGTTATTACCGATTTTCGTGGCTGTGTTGTCATAATTCAAATCTTATGAGGCAGAACACATTCGCTGCTTGAAGCGACTGTTGTGATCACCATTAACCCGCACTGCTCCTGCCCCAGCGGCGCTCCGTCACCGGCGCCCAGTGACACGCTCCGCCCGGTGACACGCGCCGCCCAGTGACACGCTCCGCCCGGTGACACGCGCCGCCCAGTGACACGCTCCGCCCGGTGACACGCGCCTCTCCCCCAGGGTGAGATCGGCGCGCCGGGTCGCCCTGGTCGCCGCGGTAGGATCGGCTTCAAGGGCGACCAGGGCGCCGCCGGCGAGGCGGGCCCGGTGGGCCCCCGTGGCCTGCAGGGCCCACAGGGCAGCACCGGTTCGCCCGGTGAGCTGGGCCCGCAAGGACTGCCCGGCCTGCCCGGCCACAAGGGGCCGCCGGGCGCGCCCGGCCCGCCGGGCCCGCCCGGCGAGGTGCAGTACCTGGCTGCGTCGACAGAGGGCAGGCCGGTCGGCATGCCTGGCGCTCGCGGGCCGCCGGGCGAACCCGGAATGGTACGTGCTGCTGCCGTGTTTACTATTGTGGGTCATCAGTGGTGGCAGCGGATCGAAATGGCACGCATTGGCTAACAGGAAATGATTGTGCATTGAGTGTCTGTGTAACCGTTTCACATATTATGAAGACCCGCATCGAAAGTACACGAAAACGAGTGAATGAATGAATGACGGAAGAATAAGGGCAGCATTAATTTCGTGATTGTACTTTGATATATGCTAGGTGAAATCTGACTCTGCTGACTTAGATAGGTGGTGGAAATGAGTTCCTACTGGGTCGCTGAAGTGGCAGCAAAAATCTTGTAAAGAGGTATCAAATCAAAAAAAGGTATCTTGTTTCGTTGTATTTCACTTGCTATTACCACATAGTGCGCGTATGATGGGATTTCACAGGACACAATGTCCCCCACAAGCTATCAGTATCGCTCTGTTATTGCACCGACCGCCGAGGTAGAAACCCTTTGCCTTCACTAGTCTGATACCTTACCCACCGGCCTGGTCCACCCAGCTGTGACCTCACCGCACCTCCCACGCCGCGAGCCAATCCGGTCTCGTTGACCAACAACCGCAAACGGACCAGCGCTCCTTCACTGCCACGTGGCTGCGTCTCCACGCATTGTCCATCCTGCCGAGAGGTCATCCTTCGCGCCACCCGCACCTGCCGCTACTTCTTGGGCGCGATGATGCCCTCTAGCTGCGTCTTGAGCTGCTGGTTGGTGCGCTTCAGGAACTGGATTTCCTCAGCGTGTTTCCGCTCCTCAGCCTGGCGCTGCTCCTGCGCCCGCTTTTCGATCTGGTCACACTTGGCGCGCAGCTCAGTGACCTGCCGCGAGTCAAACCCCGAGCCAAACCCCGAGTCAAACCCCGAGTCAAACCCCCAGTCAAACCCCCAGTCAAACCCCCAGTCAAATCCTGAGTTAAACGGCGTGTTGAACCCAGGGTCAAATCCAGAGTCAAACCCCGCTCATCCCAGTGCTGGTCACGCTCACGCTCACACTCACTCGGCGCTCATGCTTGGCACTTACGTAAGCATGACTAAAAATCGAGGTTGTGTACGTGACGGATTGCTGGAAATTCAGAGAACTACACCTCGTGTAAAACAACACACACCTTTGACACAAAATTCATGGTGTTTGCTGCCGAGTTCATTAGAGTTCCTTAGCCCTTCGAGTGCCACGAGCTTAGTCCGAGTAATTTTCATGAAAATTTACAGCAAGACAGTTCTAATAACAATGCTCTGAAAAAATCGCTTTCTGCCAGAAATAATTGTTTTTCAAGTTCCCTGAATCATGCATATTCCTGCTGATAACCTCGAAACATTGTGGTACGTATCTTACAGTCTGTCTTTGCGCAAACGTTGACTCGCTTTCCTCACCTGTCTGAGCAACTCCTCCTTGTCCACCTCGAGCTGTGCGATGCTGGCCTCCAGCTCCTCCTTGCCCTGCTCGGCCTGCAGGGCCTTGCGCATGCCGAACGCGCAGCTACTCTCGTAGAGTGTCTGGTAGGCGGAGAGTGTCATGCGTAGCTCATCCCGGATCCGCAGCAGTAGCAGGCCTCGTTCCGCGCAGTTGATGGTCACCTGAGGTCAAGGTCACCTGAGGTCACCTGAGATCACTTGAGGTCAGAGTGCACACAAGGGCTCACTCATGTGAGGGCGATTAGCTGGAGCAGTTTGGTAAGCGAGAAAACATAAGTGTGGTGTTCTGCTTATTTCGTTGGGGTTGCTGAAACTAGCTTACGGGTAGATCATTAGCTTTGTTGTTGTGAGGTGACTGTGTCGTGCCTAATGCACTTCGCTCTTTGCTTCAACGCGTCCTCTGTAGGGCTGCTGTTAAACGTGTGTAGATATGTTGGTGTAAATCAATGTTGTATAGTTGAGCCATTGTTTTATAGTTGAGAGGGCCCTGAATGACTTGAACCACGTTTGATGCTTTAACTAGCAACTCAACTAATTTTTGTGTTTTGCAACGCTTTACATTATTTGGTCAAAGTCACTAATTTATAGTTTTTTCAGTTTTGCTCATGCTGTTAAAGCCTAGCCTAAGATGTTTGAGGCACTGTGTTGTTCTGCGGGTCAGCAGCCTTACTCTTTTTATTGACATTTCACGTCTGCAGACATTTTATCGCCGTGGCTTGTTGTTAGATAAATAGGTGCAGAGCGCCTGCGCAATGACGTCGGTGCTCCTTCCACATATGAGAAGCAAACCAGGGAAAAGACATCGGACGAGAAATTATAGACTTCTGCACTTAGGTGTTGAAAAAGCGATACTTAAAGAGCGCAAGCTCCAGAAAAGAGGGCGGGCAAAAATCTCTGCTTTCTTCCGCAAAATGGCAACCTTTACGTTGACAGGTGACATGTCCAACATCCACACCTAATGTTTTACAATCTATGAATTGCTTCCGCGCTTACCTGTCGGATTACTTCGTCGAAAGCTTGTGAATACAGTTCGCGCCGCACTGGGCAGATACCCGTCTCCCTAGCCTGTCGCTGCTGCAGCTTCATGTCCAGCTGCTCTTGCAGGTTCAGCACGTCCAACCGAGTGGCCGGGGTGGTAGAGACCTGCTGCCGCCATAGCTGACCCCCTTCCTCTTCCCATTCGCGAGGCGGAATGATAGAGTTCAGCACTTCCTCGGTGTCCTGTTTCGAATCGCCATGTCCAGTCCGTTTAGGCGCGGCGCCCTGGGCAGCCGTGGGCACCGGTCCTAAGCCTTCGGGCGGTACTGGAGCAGTTGTCTTGTCTTTGGCACTAGGCGTTTTCTTCTCCGTGTGTTTTGTCACTAGCACGGGGTTATCATATCTCACAAGTGACACATTTGCCGGTATCACATTTGCAGCCATGGTGACTGAAAGGTCTTCTCCCCTTCAGTTACAGATGTCCTTCTTGGCCTTTGTGGTACAACAAGGCAGCGGAATTATCACCTGTCACGGATCCCGTTTTAACATGAGACTCAAGTACTGACACAATTTGTCCACCGTGCTTTCCACTAGGAATTATTTTGACGTTGCGCGTCGCCACGAAGCAAATGCATTTTACGATAGCTTTATTTTCAACGTCTTTGCTCAATCACGTGCGTAGTTGAAACAAGCCACTCCATAAATTTTGGAAACTTGGCCGTACGGCTCGCAACTCACCTGTGGTCCTCAGCTTGCTCGCGGTCTTCAGTGCTCATGGGTCGACTCGGCTGAATCAATGTTCGGTTGCTACGAGACGGTGCCGGGCGCCGCCGCCTGGCGTGGCCCGGGGACGCAACAGGTGGCTCGCATTCCATAAGTGTCGGCTAAAGCACAGTTGCAAGAGTTACAAGACGTCCAGACTGTTCAACTGTGTTTGTGTGGCAAAAACTGCGTCCAGTTTCGTGTTCCGTGACGCAGCGTCATGGTATCTTTTTTAAAGCAATGGTATTAGGAATGAGAGCCCATCTGAGATAAGACTAAAACAATGGCATAGATGCGTCTTATTCTTCCCATCTCTGCGGCATCACAGAAAGTAATTTTGAGCAATTAGCAGTAATTATCTACGCTGCGTAGATAATTACTGCTAATTACTGAAAACTACTGATTGAGTTCGGATTGGCCAAACGGCGTCCAGATCTGGCGCCCGCTCGGGCCGGTCTACCCATACCTGTACTAACGGACCGCCCCCTTCGCTGACAGACTCCTGCCCGTCCCAACTACCCCGTGTCCGTTCCTGCCGCCTGACCGGTCTGACCCCTGGCTGACTCCTCCCTCAGCCGGGAGAGCGGGGAGCAGACGGCAGGTCCGGCGGGATGGGCCACAAGGGACCGGTGGGCGAGCCAGGCCAGCAGGGCTACCCTGGCGTGGCCGGACCAGCAGGACAGCGCGGCCCGCCCGGTCCCAGCGGAACACCGGGCGTGCCGGTATGTGCACAGCAGCGCCATCCGGAAATGTTGCACACCAGCAGGATCTGGAAATGTTGCGCAACAGCTTTGTTGAAAACCTCGGCTGGTTCTCTGGAAAACGTCTGCATCTATGCCAGTAATGGCGCGTGGTACTTATTTTCAAGGTATACGTGCTCGCCAGGGCATTGACACGGGTCAAAACCGTATCGTTTAGATCACACTCGCTTAGTCAGCGGGGAACTGTAACGTAAAACCTTCCTTATGGACGTATGGAACATATCAATCGCAATCAACGTTATGCGCAGAACATAAGTTCTGTTGTTCCACGCCTGCACGTTCCGGCGTTCACATCTGAGCCGCGTGTTGTCCGTGTCTGAGGGCGCACAAATCTGACACTCTTGGCCCAGTCCTCCGCCCCACCGCTGACGCTGCGCCCGCGGCGCCGACAGGGCCGCACATTCTCGGAGGAGGAGGTACGCGACATCTGCGCCACCGTGCTGCGCGACAGGCTGGAGGAGCTGACGGCGCGCCTGCAGGGGCCGGCCGGCCGGCCGGGCCGCTCGCGGCGCGGGCCGCGTGGTTTCCCTGGCGACCCGGGCCCGCCGGGCGACCGCGGCTTCCGTGGCCCGCCCGGCGACCGCGGCATGCCGGGCCTGAACGGCGCCAGCGGCCTGCCGGGCCCGCACGGCCCGCCCGGCGAACGCGGTGACCAGGGCCCGCCAGGACCGGAGGGCGTCGGCATCGAGGGACCCATGGGACCCAGCGGCACGCCAGGTCTGTGCCCGGCTTGACAGGGAGAGATGACGTGCTGCCGGTGGAGCGGGAGGGGTGGGGGATGCGGTGTGCTCAGGTGCTGTCGCGCCCAGCGGATATTTGATCGTGACGGACGGCCATCACGAATGAAAGTGTTCGAACTATCATCCTCGTCTGGGGTGTTGGTATGCACACGACGTCTCGGCCAGTAAGTCATCGGCCGTCGCCAGGTGTCACAAAGTCCTGGAGCCCGGATGGAGTTATGTAATCCTTCTCGAGACTCCATAACACATGAAGACGTCCGGAGAGTCAGATAGTGGAAACGCTGTATGCTTTGTAACATACCAAACGAAGACGATAACCCGAACACTTATTCCGCCCGTTATACTGCTGTCGCATATAAATTCCTCCTTAAAACCGTGGACGGTCGCAATAGCGCTCGATGAATGTTACTTTTTCAAGAAACATCCGATTGTCGAGCTTTGTGTTTTAACTCGTACCCATAACGGATGCAGTAATGCTGAGCTATTCCTCTCAGGACAATGCCATCCCACATATTTTACGACACCAGACTACGTCCCCACAAAACAGTACCTGACCGTTCACGTCTTCACGAAACGCTGCTTACCTCTGCAGGCAGATGACCGCCGTCGAAGCACTCCAGCCATCCCGCGCAGCGCCCGTCCTGGCTTCCGTACTGACCGGCGGTCGTGTTTCACAGGTCCTCCCGGACCGCCGGGTGTGGGCCTTCCGGGCCGCGTCGGGGAGCGGGGCGAACAGGGTCGGCCCGGCCTGCCGGGCGTCCAGGGGCCGCCCGGCACCGCCGGCCAGCCCGGCTTCTGCGAGTTCTGCAACTATCCGCAGGCGTATGCGCAGCAGGCGTACGTCCAGGCCGGTAGCAAGGGCCCTGACTTCAAGGGGTGAGGCGGCCGGCGACGCGGGCGCTGACTGGCGGCGGCGACAGGAAGCTTGCCTCTTCGAAATGGGGTTGCGCGAGAGAGTGAGAACTGAGGCGGGCGCGTACATGATGCGGGGACTGCCCTTGAATTATGCACGGATGCTTTGTCGGAGAGAAATCGCTACAAGCGTCTTAATTTAGGATCGTTTAAGTGATAATTACAGCCATTTTGGCCCATGGAGGCTGAAAGGTTGTTTGCAATAAGTACTTGCAGATTGCCTTTAGATATTATTTTTTAAGGTTCATATAATTTGTCTGATGTGCACATCACTGCCAATTATGTACGCTTCTCTGTACGCATGTGCCAGGTGCCTAGAGTATGCTGTCAGCCGTGTGAATGACGAATTGCACTGCGTTGTGGGCTTTTGGGTTACTTCGACTTGCCTCCCAGGTCACTGACGTGATTTATTGAGCTATAAGCGCACTGCCTCCCGTTTGATTAGAAATCAGGAGTGCTGTGAATCCAGTGTCTTTAAAAAATGTATCCAACCAGGCATTCGGGCAATAAAACCTGCGCGGACAGCCCATTTGTTTGTAAATGCACGGATCGTGGAAACGCAGTTGGCTGCGGTGAACATCGCTCGCTGTCTCTTTCCTACCGTCTCTCGCCCGATTCATGCAACGCGCACTCAACTCGGTAGTCACTCTTTTGATGCAATATTCGTTGACTGTCTTAAATGCATCTGATTTATCGACATCGTTTTCAGCATTGTGATGCGTTTTTCTGCTGTGTTCCCTCGATTTTTTCAAACGTTTTTTTTCAACTGGCCGCGGCAACTGAAAACGAAAGGGTGCCGCACCTAAGAAGGGAATCTTAGAGCAAGAACAATAACAACACAAATGCAGGAAAAACGCTGAAGACCTTAGCCGCGGGAAGTCCATGATGGAGGCGAAGTACGGTAAAGCCAAGGAAGAAAGCAAAAAAAGACACGGGGAAGAGGCTGGAATATTCGAGAGTGAAGACGACGATCTATTTTACGTAGTTTGGATGGAGCGTTCTGAAAACTGTCAATCGAGGGGAAAGTGAATGCGTTATCAGAAAGGCACGCTGTAGGCCCCACCAGGCCTGCACAGCAGTGCGCAAAAGCGTGCACCGTCTGTGAAGGCTGTGACTCAGAATGCAGTTGCTCGCACACTTCTGACTGTCGTGGCAGATGCAGGACTGAACATGCGACATGGCGCGTCTAATAGACTGAGGAGCACGCCTTTCAATGCGTGTGTGTTGTTGCTACAACCTCAGTTGTTTTTGATGGCAGTTACCCCTGCGGGCTGCCATATTTATCTCGTATACGTCATGACATGTTTCAACGGATGATACTTTTTTGAACAAGGTTTTCAGCTTTGACAACAGAATTATTCATCCTTTCCTGCGCTCCATTTGCAGACAAATATTAACGATCAGCACGAAGGTTTAGGGATGAACCCAACACCAAAGGTTTCCAGCACATCACCCTAAATGTTAAATTTCTACACTTGTCTGTCGTCCCCTATGCATAAAGGTATAAGCTTTCGTGTGTGATTCAAGCAGCACAACGCAAAAAAAGAGCTGCATGCATGTACTTTATTATAGCTCGAAACATTTAAGAGCACGTTGCCAAGAGGCAACGAATGTGTTTTAGACATACATATTTTATGGGTTATTAAACCAATAAGACCCCTTCAGCGACTTGGAGCGAGCGAGGCGATAATAGATGCAAGAGCTTCGAGTTGAAAATGGTAGGCTGTTGGTCTGGTAGGCTTTTTTCGAAATCGGTTTCCTCTTTCTGAGTTTTGGCAACTCCTCCGAGATCCCACACCACATCCGCTCTTTGATGGCTGATAGTTGTGGCGACTGGGCAAGCCACGCCGTCCTCCTACAATTTTCTTCAGGGTCGAGAGAGGCGTCCCAGTCGCGATGCACAGACCAGAAATCTCGCGGGATGAGCTTTGCGGGGATGATGAGCCGAGAGATGTTTTCGAGAGGCCAAGTGGATCATAGCTTGAACCCACCACGCGTAGGATTGGACGCTTATTTTTGGCTCTTCTGCAGCAGCTGAAGGTACTCTGGCGCGCGCCTTTTTTATGTGGGCCTGTCACATGAGGCCCAGCACTTTCTCCGTGGGCAACGACCGCCACAGGTCGGCGGCACTCGGCGCGTTCTCTTCAACCGGGGTAGCGTCTGGCACCCTTTCGATCGCTTAGCTAGCTGCGGAGGTAAAACCAGCCTCTCGAGACGAGCGCCGACACCTCTGTAGTAGTTAGCAGTGCAGTCACATCGTCTTTCTCAGACGTCGCCGTTCGTCCATGTAGAAGCTGTCTCGGACGTCGGCCATCGCACCAGGGCATTGACCGAGCCCGGCCGCCGAGTCCGGACACTTTTATTGAGCTGTCTGATTACCCACGCAGCCGGCCGAATCTGGTGACGAGCGTGTCTCGAATATTACCCGGTTCACCTGAGAGGTGTCTCGGAGCCGAAAGTCTTCCAGACTGCGCCAGAAAAAAAAACTCCGCGCCGGATGGTCCGCTGCTATCACCGACACCTGCAGGGACGTCTTCTCTATGTTGGCGTTCAGGGCTACTGTATCCTGTCGGAATCGCCTCATGACACTTGGAGTGGTTTGTGGTAAATCCGGGGCAGTCGGGAGGTTTTCATCTGACGATTTTTGCCGTAATTTGTATCAGCGCCAAAGACGACTCGCGCTTACCCCGGTTTAGTCTGGTTAGTGACGGCATGGTGAGGCAGATGCCAGCACCGGTCCTGTGACTGCCGCTGCGCATGGGTTTTCTGGTGCTCTCCTCAGCAGCCCCTTTTCCGTGGTCACCAGTCGACGTGGCGTCATTCTGCAGCTATTGGGCCGCTTGATGTCGGCTTGCCAGATAATCCCAGTCTCGTAGCAGCCACCTCTCCAGCGAGGGTCACCTCCCGGAGCCGTACTGCATGCAGGTCCTCAGCTGAATGGTGCGCTTTAGAGATGAAGTTGGTGTCGAAAGTCTCTTCTGACCATCAACTCTCCATCATTTCTGACGGTTCGTGCTCCGCTGAGCGATTTCTTCGGATGTGTAGCACGTCGTGAGCCCTTACTGGGAGCATCTGTCTTAGGCTGCCCGTTAGGCACCATCCAAAACGCGTTCTGATCGTCGCGTGTTGTCCTAGAGGAACGCCCGAGCTTCCTTCTGGAGCATCGCTTCCATATCGTTTGCACCGAACAGCAGCTCCACAGGACGGTCGTTTGTGTCGGGGACTGGGACCCCAGCCAGATGCTTCCAGCTACTTCTCTCCATCCAATTGATGTTCTGTGTTTGACTTTTGGACCGAGAACAACCACCCACCACTTGGGCGGCCTTCTCTGCCGCGTGCGGTACCGCTGCTGGCGTGTGGAGCAGACAGTCGTGTTTTCCGCGGCAGCCGTCCTTACGGCAAGATGAGTTGCTGCGGCACTGTTTGGTCCAGTGTCCCTCACCAAGGTACCTAAAGCAGTGCCTGCTGTCTCGCGTTAGTGTGAGTCTGTCACCGGGGGACGTGTCCTGGAAAACTGCT